ACTGCTGGTCCAGTTATAAATTGGGAAAAAGAGTTAATCAAATGCTCAATGAAGCGAGAGAGCTCCGACCTAAGGAAGGAGAACTCGACATCATGACGTCGCCATTGCCTCCTCCTCCAGTGCACGAGATGCCTATGGACGAGATCATGGGGCTTGACATCTCCAAGCTCAATAAAGTGCGGAAATGGCTCATGCATGAAAAACAAGTGGGAGTGATTGGGTTGTACGGAGCAGGCGGTGTGGGAAAGACCACCCTCATGAACAGGATCAACGAGGAGCTTTCCCTCGCAAATCATGGATTCGATGTTGTTATTTGGGTGGTGGTGTCCAAGCAAGTGAACAAAGATAGCATTTAAGACGCCATAAGGAGAAGGCTGGACATTGAAGATGAGCTCTGGGTTCACTGGTCCTCGGATCAGAGGGTCCATCATCTATGGGAACATTTGACCCAGAAGAAGTTTGTATTGTTGATTGATGATCTATGGGAGAGGCCGGACCTTTCAAAAATTGGAGTTCCTCGTCCTAGTCTCGAGAACAGATCCAAAGTAGTATTCACTACTCGGTCGGAGCAAGTATGCAACCAAATGGGAGCCAACAAAACCCTCGAAGTATGGTGCTTGACGCCTGAAGAAGCCATGGGATTATTTGAGAACAACATCGGCGAATCGACTATACATTCTCATCCGGAAATTCCAGAGCTGGCAAAGTACATTGTCCGAGAGTGCACAGGGGTTACCACTAGCCCTTGTAACAGTTGGGCGAGCCATGGCCGGGAGAAAGAATCCCTCTGAATGGAAGCATGTGCTAAGAATGCCCAGAAACAATCCGTACAAGCTCTCAGGTATGGAGAAAGTGTATCACATACTAGAGTTCACTTATAATAGCTTAAATGACTCTACTCTTCAGCTTTGTTTCCTTTACTGTTGTCTCTTCCTCGAGGATTACCCTATAAGACCGCACAACGTTATTGAACTCTGGATTGGAGAGGGCTTGCTAGGAGACACCGATGATGTATACAATATGCGTGATAAGGGAGAGTACTTCTTGGGGAGTTTAAAGATGGCTTGTCTATTGGAAAGTGGGCGTGATGATGATGATGATGATAAGAAAGAGTATGTAAAGATGCACGACGTCATCTGTGATATGGCGACCTGGATCGCTCATGACCACGGCCAAAAGGAGAACAAGTTGCTAGTGATAGAGAAAGGCGAAGATATGTCTGCCAAGATGATCTCCAAATGGGGGGAAGCGGAGAAAGTATCTCCACGGGGAAAATGGATTTGGAATATCGACCAAACACTACCCTAGTGTTCCCAACTCAAAACTTTGCTTGTAAGAGAAACTACTGTAAGCCTCGTGCCAAGAAGATTTTTTGATTCGATGACGGCTCGTTGGACGGTCCTAGACTTGTCCGACAATGGAAGTATCAACTCGTACCCCGAAGAGATTTGCAATTTCATGAATTTAGGGTACTTGAACTTGTCGGCCACTTCGATCTGTGAGTTACCTAGTGAAATCAAGAAATTGACTCGCTTACGGTGGCTGCTACTAGACGATATAGGTGCAGACATCCTACTTCCGGTAAGGGCAATCGCAAGCCTACCATTGCCTTATCTATAGGTCAATTTTATATTATTTGACATCAGTTCTAGACAAGGAAGAAGACATGGTAGAGGAACTAGGGCGTATGCAAAATCTCACCGAGTCTTTCTCTATGTAAAAAATATTCCAAACCCCGAATTTTTAGAGATACATAAGGAGAGTAACCATCATTTATAACCAGGACTTGACTAGTATCGTAATAAGTGACACACCAACAGGCAGTGGCGGCGGTTTCTCGCATTTAGAGGTGTTTTATCTAAATACTGTGAGTCGTTGAGGGAGTTGAAGATTACTCAAGGAATAGGACAAGCGCTCAACTGCTCTTGGTTCCCCAATCTCGTTGATGTTCATGTCTACAGGTGCGGGTTGTTGGATTTGTCCTAGCACATGCACGCTCCGAAACTTCAGAAATTGTGCATTTGGTCGTGCCATTCGATGGAAAAGATCATCGGGGATGGATTTGCACCGGAGGAACTAGCTGCTTCAAAACTATTCTCAAGTCTCAAAACCCTAGACCTCATACGTCTTTCAAATTTACGAGCATTTGTGACCATACTCTATTTTTCCCTCAAGGGGTAAGATTCACCATAAGCGGGTGCTCGAATCTCAAAAAGTTGCCATTGGACTCGAACAGCAGCTTCTCAATCACCGCGGACGGAAAATGGTGGCTCAATTTTGAGTGGGATCCCGCCGCCCGGGTCACTGTCCAATGGATTCGTGGCAAGAGTCCTGTAGAAGAAATGACACTTGGAGAGGCGGTCCGTAAAATGAAAGAAGATCGAGACCACTCTTCCTTTCCCAAGATTGGATTCGGAACTTGGGGGCCGAGGGAGTGAAGTTTTCTTCTTCTTTTTTTGGTCTGAGAGGGGTTGAAGTTGGTAAGTGTGATATTGTATAAAAAAAAGTTTGGTTTGTGTTGCAAAGTGGGTTCTCATAGTTACGTATTTTCTGTTGGGATTCCTAAATGTTGTGGGGTGCAATGAAGGAAAAAAGAAAAATGCAGTAAATAGCTTCCGTTTGTATATTTTACTGCAAGGGCCAATTAAATAAAGCTGTCAAACAATTTGAATAGGATCGATCATGTCTTTTTCTTTAAGTTAACACGAGTCTTATCATTTCCTCCTCGTATACTTCGATTTAGGAGGAATCATATCATCAAACAGTTTCCATTCGGAAAGCCCAAACCTTGCTAAGACGAAGATGATAAATTGAGCCAAGAATTTGATTTGCTTACTTGACGGACAAGAAAATTAAGGTCACCCTTCTGATTTTCTTCAAGTAGACTAGTTCTCAAACATGCACTAAAAAAAGTTGTGTAATCGACTTGATTTCATAAATTTATTCGATACCTCGGGATTGTGAGGAAGTAAATGAGCGTGACTTAGCTTCTTTTTCTTCTTCTTCTTCTTGATGAAAAAGGCGACAGCAGGAGCAATCTCCACGACTGTGAATAGATGATTAAAAAGAGAACTCTTTACATGCAAGCTTTGGCGTCTCCACCGATGTGATTGAGCTCTTGATGCGGTTGCCTCCCTCTAGATGTGGAGGCACGACGGTCGTGCTTCTAGATTCAGAGGCATTTTCACCTTCAATGACTAAGCTTGTCAATGTCCAGAAGATGTAGCTTAGAGAGAGAGAGAGAGAGAGAGAGAGAGAGAGAGAGAGAGAGAGAGCACATTGGCTTGCTCTGGTTGAGCAGGTTCTAGTTGACCTATCTCCTGTGGATTTTAGACTTGCTGCTTTCGTGCAGTGGCTGCAGATTCAAATTTGTTCTTGGTCTCTGAAGATCGAAGCCGGGACTCAGCTTTTGCGGATGAGGTCCTTCCTTTGCCTTCGGGTGGTAGAAGGCTGGGCGGCACTAGCAGTGGCTGATCCTTCGGTAACGGAAATTTCCAAAAAATTTCCATTACTGAAGTGGCCTAATTTAATTTGTCCTCTTTTAGGGAAAAAAAAATGTGTTCTTTTGGGACCTCCTTGAGCAATATCAGTAGCGGGGCATCTTCATATTTGAAGTGAAGGGATTTTCGTATGAGGCAAATTAAGGTGATATCCCAGCTAATAACCAGTGGCTATTTTTGTCCATGTTGGAGGAATCGTGGGCTTTCTCTCCGGATTTCTAGGTGTCTCTTTTACTTCAGCTGTGGAGTGAGGTTGCTTGAATTTTTATGCATTTTGAATTCTTTGTACGGGGAAAGTTTATTTTATTGGACCAGTGACAAACCTTTCCTAAGAATCCGGAAATGTACCGTGATAATTCCTGTAATTGAAAAACTCCTTCATCCTGGCATATTGCTGGTCCGTTGCTGTTTGTTACAATGCGATCCATCGACCTCTCTGTCTTTGATTTATCCTTCCAGAAACTCCAAGGAGTCCAACTTTACACAGCTTATGAATCATGAATTTATTTAGAAAATGTAAATCCTTGGGGAGACTCAATTAACTTTCCCTCCTTTACTAGAGAGCGACAAAAAGCATCGTGTGACGGATCCGGTTTTAAGATAATGCTAATCCTTACCTAGAAAGATGGTGAAAAAAGAAAAAGTGCGAGGTGGGATGTCGAGATACAAAAGTTGGGTAATGAGTTGAAGGCTACTGAAAATAAATAAGCCTTTTATTAATCATGCTATGCATTTGTTGACCGTCATCTATCACTATAATATAAAGACACGAATGCCATGCCGAAACATGTTATGTAACTTGTTGAATTTGAGTATTATTTCTCGATTGCAAGGGGCATGACTGTACTTCCAAATGAAGATTAGAATTTCATACTCATACTCGAAAATTCACAATTATCGAGACGTTTCTTTATCAAAACTATATCATTGTACATATATATATATATATATATATATATATATATTAAGTGTGTTCGCTAAACTCTATTTTAGGGTGTTTTCACACGAAAAAAGAGGGAGATAAATTATGACATAAAATCATATGGCCAACAAGCTGGAGAAATATGCTGCTGTGATATGTACATATTAGCATCCTCAATTATAAATCAAGATTATCCTATATATAGAGCGAACTTGAACTCCACTTATAACATCAAACTATCACTAGAAAGCTTCATGAAAGTAGGTGCCTATTATAAAAACGATTCACAATTGCAACTTACTAATGTACTAAAAAAAAATGTAGGATTTAACAAAGTCATCGTGATTATTAGCTTACCTTGTAATTTTACGGTTCGATCTAAACCTAAATCAGATCTCTCCCTTATCTAACTTCAAATCAAATTTATCTTGCAAAAAACCCACGATCCAAGATATAATAATCATCTCCTTTCGAACTATTGTTGTTTTTTTTTTTTTTTTTTGGTCATTTTATACAACCTCGATCAGCTTCGTCCAGATCAGATACGAATTTTTCTGGGCGAGACTTCCATTAAAGTACGACACGCCAGATGGGATCTACACCTGCGCCCATCGTCGTTTCTCTCTCGCCGACGTTCTCGTTCGGGTTTTCGCGAGTGGCAGGCACCCATCATCGTCGGTCAGCTCCCTGTCCCAGAAGAAGCTCCAGCTTGGAGCACGCGTGGAGGCTCGTCATCGTCATCGTCATCGTCTTTTCTTTGCTCTGCCTCTGAGAGGTTTTTTGGCACTGTGGAATGAGTGGAGGCCAAAAGGGCGGTAAGCTCTTTCGAACCCCATTACGAGGGAATGTTCCGTTTCTCGTTTCTTGATTGCTAAGCAACCGAAAGGGCCGCTCTTTTATGGTTCCGTGAACAATTGTTGAGGCTCTCGATCTTGATTGCGCTCTACTCTTCGGGTTTTGGCTGGCGGACATTCGGATTTTTGTTTTCTTTTTCTTCTGAAGCTCCCTTTTAGGTTTCTTTCTTGGTTAAGAGGTCTGTGTGGGATTACTGGGTGCATACTGTACTTGTGACGCATTGGGTTGTATTTCATAGTGGTCACTGCAGAGTGACAGTAATTCCAGCTAAGTCAGAATGATTTTGTATGTTCTGTCGATGCGAAGTGATCGTTCTTGTGATAATACTTTTCGGGCGAGGAGCATGTTTATACCAAATTAAGCTTTCTATTCATACAATTATAGGTGGAAACTGTGGGTGGATGAGTTCACCATTGCCATGGGTAGTTGTTTCTTTTCCCCCTTAGGAACTTCAATCGTTCATTTGATTTTTCGCTGGCTATATTTAATCTATGCCCAGGTTACGTCTAAAGTTCCATCTATGCTCATGGGTGTGCATTATTAACCTACATTAAGTATAAAGAATCAAGAATTTTGCTTCCATATTCGCGTTGTAGATCTGTGTCCTGATAATAAGATTGTATTCTATGGAGCGACTTTAGTATAACTTAATCAACCTTTTGGATAAGATGAAATGCAGCTCGCCTTTCTTATTGATCTGGTACTGAGCATCTGCAATGTTCCTTTCTCAAACTGTTGGATGAGATAAGAACCCAGCATCTGTTCTTCTCGATTCAGTATTGAGTGGCTTACGTCCGTTCTCGGAAATTGTTCTAAGCATCCTAAGTAAGATGCCAAAACATACTAGAGGTGTGTGGCATACCTGATTGGCTGAGTGCCAAGCAAGCTATGAGTAGTACATGTGTCTTATAAGGACATGAAGCTCTTGCAGTGGCCACGGAAGACATAGGGCGATAGTGCTTACTTTGCAGAGACGTGAGTTTGTGAATTAAGATGGTGACATAACTCAGTGCAAGCAAACGTTCTGATTTTTAGCATTCTAGAGTGCAAAAAGAATTACTACTTAATACAGGGATACAAAAGAGGCAGACCTTGACAGAGCATACTGGATGAGATCACAATTAGCTTATGGAGATCACTGTTTAAAATTGCAAGCATTAACAATAATTTCCTTATTTATGACGAGCATGATTATCTGTTATTTTCTTTTGCTTTGTTTGTTTCCATTATCACTCCACTCCCAAATTATTTTCTTCTGCAGGATGTCCATAACTGAATCTATAAGACTGGTCTAGGCAAGAAAAAGTAAACTTGGTAGAGCAAGAACAAGTGAATTTATAAGACTATTGCGTGATTTTTCTCCAGAAATTGGATGTTCAATGGTTTTCTTTGTGTAATATCTAGTGATAATACTTTTTCCTCCCCCAGGTTGAGGTTCATATAGCGTGGTAAGACAATATTGCTCTACCACATGGCTTCAGGAAACATTCGTCTATTTGATGTGCGGAGATCATCAAATTACTGCTGTTCGAGGCTTTCTGTAGTTGTGTTTGTTGCTTTCAGTTTACTTGCAATTTGGATTCTCCTGCCATCATCTTCCACATTTCCAGTTGAAAATCCGGACTTGGTATATAAAGGGAATGATAGTTTGGGACACAGAGTAACTAATGGAAGATCGGGGAATACTCAGATTCAAAGCCAGGATGTTCTAAATGATGAAAAAAGAACAGTTGAAAAGGGTTCGGAAGATGAAAGTGAGCAAACCAAGGTTGATTCTGCTAATACAGTGGAGACTGACCTGGAAGAGAAAATATCAGAAGAGAGCACTCCTGGGAAGACTTCCTCAATGAAAACATCTGACAAATCTGATATGACTTCTGAATTTGACAATGAAACCGAGGATAGACAGAAGAATAACTATCACAAGAGCAATGAGAGTAGAGAGGAACCAAATACGGGATTGAGCAATACTGATGGAGGTCAAAAGGATGGAGAACAAACAATGGCTGATGAAGGATCTGATTTGGATGAAAAGTTCAATAGATCAAAAGGAAATGATTCTGACATGGATGATAGTGCTGAAAAAGTGAACGCTGAAGATAGCTCAGATGATGTTCAGCAGGACAATAAAGAGGTTGATCAGGATAACGAGAGGGTCCAGCAAGATCAAGACAATAATTCTGAACAACCTGCTGCTAACAATAACCTAGAAATCCAGGAAACATTTCAGGAATCTAATAATCAGTCAGAAAATTTAACTCAAACAACTGCTCCAAACAGCACTTGGTCAACTCAAGTGGAGTCCCAAAATGAGAAGCTGTCACAGCAAGATTCGAAGGAAGAAAATGACTACACCTGGAAAGTTTGTAACACTACGCCTGGGCCAGACTACATCCCTTGCCTCGACAATATTTATGCTGTTAGAAGGCTTCCTAGTACAATGCATTTTGAACATCGAGAGAGGCACTGCCCTGAAAATGCTCCTACGTGTCTTGTTCCTCTACCTGCGGGATACAGGAAGCCAATTCAATGGCCTATAAGCAGGGATAAGGTTCTTTTTTCTTAGCCTTTTCTTCTTTTGGCCATAACCGTCTTCTTTTTGCCGGGGAGGAGGGGTTTTCTGGTAACTACTGACCTCTTGCCAAAATGCAGATATGGTTCCACAATGTTCCACATACCGAGCTTGCTGTAGTCAAGGGACATCAGAATTGGGTTAAAGTTTCCGGTGAATATCTTACATTTCCTGGTGGTGGAACTCAATTTGTTCGGGGTGCTCCCCACTATATTGATATGATTCAAAATGTGAGCTTTTGCACCCTGTCAATTGCCTTTCTCTCATGGCTAAAGTTATCAGTTCTGTCCAATAGCTGCTTAACTAGAACAGGAAGCTTTCTGTTTTGTTATGACTATATTGATGCATAAGATGATCCTAGCGACACATTCACTCTACTTTTAAAAGTTTGGCCAAATGTCACTCACCTTCTTCCGCTTTTGATGAAACACTGGTTCACAGGAACCATTGGCAAGTATACAGACTGATTCTGACATTGACTAGGTCAATCAAATTGTCTTTTTAGTATCTTATTTCATGATCTACTTCTTTAAACTTTGGACTACATCCCTTCATCTCTCTGTCTCTCTCTCTCACACACACACGCACACACACCTGTACATGCGTGTGTTTGTCTGTGGCACACACAAACATGTAAACGTCTGTATTGATGAAAACATCTGAGCACATTGACAAATGCATGTATGACTTTCACCCAGCCAAGTGATGTGCATTGAAAGATTATATCCAGAGGACTGTAGTTTGAAGGTTTGGAGGAAAAAACTTACATGGCAAATAATAGTGAGGGATACTAATCAAACGATTGATATAGAATTGCGTATAATCTACTTTTATATTTATTTACTAGACAAGATGGTCAGCTTCTGAAGAATTATGCTGGAAATAATGGGATAAATTACTTGAACAGATTAATGCATTCAATAACTCAATTGGCAGGTGAATGCAAGCCAGGACATCAAATATTTGCACGTAGTATTATCTCATATATGTACCTGATGGATTCTTGAGTTGGTCTCAAATCTTGATTTTTTGCTGTCATTAACAATTTCCTTCCACTCTTACCCAAAAAAAAAAAAAAACAATTTCCTTCCACTAGAGAAGCCTAGACTTTGTAATAAATTTCTATGCATTGTTATCTAGCCTATATTATTCACAGACTAATTGTCAAAATGTGAAGGCAAATCTTGCTATTGCATGGGGGAAGAGAACCCGGGTGATATTAGATGTCGGATGTGGTGTAGCCAGTTTCGGAGGTTATTTATTTGAAAGGGATGTTCTTACAATGTCTTTTGCTCCCAAAGATGTGCATGAAGCTCAAGTTCAATTTGCACTTGAACGTGGTATTCCAGCCATACTTGGAGTTATGGGTACCAAGAGGCTACCATTTCCCAGTGGTGTTTTTGATGTTATCCACTGTGCCCGCTGTAGAGTCCCTTGGCATGTTGAAGGTCATGATCAGAAATGTTGAAATTCCTCTCCTTCTCTTGTTTAAAAATTCTGAATCCATTTCAATGTGCATTTCAGGTGGCAAACTTCTCTTGGAGCTCAACCGTGTCCTTCGACCAGGTGGTTACTTTGTTTGGTCTGCTACTCCAATTTATCGCAGGGACCCGGAAGACGTTGGCATTTGGAAAGGTTGAATATAGTCAATGTGGTGATTATCTAATTGGGATGGTATCTGAAAACTTCATCTTAAATTGCTCATTGTTTCTTTCTCTGGTGATTGCTTGCAGAAATGTCCAAACTGACTATGGCTATGTGCTGGGATCTTGTCGTGATTAGAAAGGACAAACTGAATAATGTGGCTGTTGCAATGTACAGAAAACCAACATCTAATGAGTGCTACGAAAAGAGACCACGAAATGAGCCTCCACTCTGTGATAAATTCGACAATCCCAACTCAGCTTGGTACATCCTTTTTTTTATCTTCAGATTGGATTTGTTGCTAAGTAATGCTGCAACATAAGGTTTTTTTCTTTTTTTCTGTTTTTTTTTTTTGGGTGGGGGTTACAACCTCTGTAGTGCATCTTCTTGATAATGTACTTACACAACAGTAAAAAGTTAACTCATCAATAGAAGCAAATTTATATTACTGCCATAAGCAAGTCAAAGGAGGGTTCCTATGTAGTTCACCTCCAATGGCTTCATTAGATGGGCTATGCGGCAAAACTAACTGATATGATTTGCACAAGCGAGTACCTCATATCTCTCATATGATGATTGTTAGATTTCCAGTAGAATGATTCATAGATTATGTTGACCAGATTTCTTTCCATATTTCTTCTTTGTTAATTTTTTTTTCTCGACAATTCTTTTGTAATTACTTGTGATCTGGCAGTCATTCAACTAGTTACCTCCAAGGAAATGCATATTGAGGACACGCAAGTTTTAGAGAGCAGAAATTTGCATGATTAAGTGTATCGCTGCAAAATTAGTCACCTTAATTTTTTGATTCTGAAAAAGTGGTCTTCATGTGCAAACAAAAGTACTTTGGCATAGGAGGCTCGCATATGGCCTCAAAGGTGTCTTTTTGCTACCAAATGTCAGGTTAACTGCCTCATACATTGATAATCCTAATTTGAATGACTCTAGGAATGTGTCGCTGCAAGCCTGCATGCACAAAGTGCCTGTAGACATGTCGGAGCGTGGGTCCAAATGGCCTGAGAAATGGCCAGTACGTTTAGAAAAACCACCATACTGGCTGAATGAAGTCGGAGTATATGGCAAACCGGGCCAAGAAGATTTTACTGCTGACTATGAGCACTGGAAAGATGTTGTCTCCCACACGTATTTGAATGGTATTGGTGTCAGGTGGTCTTCTATCAGGAACGTTATGGATATGAAAGCTGTATATGGAGGGTTAGTTACTTCTTTTGCTTCAGCTATGATCTATGAAAGGAGTTTGCTGTTTCCATTTGATATGTCCCTTCTGCACATTCATCATAAATCTTAAAGAGCATGAACTATCTACCGATTTCTCTTGTTATGGAAAGGCCTCTGATGCACAATTTTTTCCTTCTCTTTGGTGTTACCTTTATATTTGCACCATACATTTGCGTTCTTGTGTCAATCTTTCTTTGGTTCTACTTGTAGGTTTGCTGCTGTCCTCAAAGACTTGAAAGTGTGGGTGATGAATGTAATACCAATTGAATCTCCTGACACACTTCCTATAATCTATGAGCGCGGTTTATTTGGCATGTACCATGACTGGTGTGAATCATTCAACACCTACCCAAGATCTTATGATCTTCTCCACGCAGATAATCTCTTCTCCAGTCTCAAAAAGAGGTTTTTTCCTTTTGTTTATGAGTCATTCCATTACTTGATCCTTAAGGAGGGAAAAGACTCCTTATTACGCTGCTGCTTTTCTTGTCACAGGTGCAATTTGATGCCAGTTTTTGCCGAAGTTGATCGGATTCTGAGGCCAGAAGGAATTCTGATTGTCAGGGATGATGTGGTGACTATAGCTGAGCTTGAGAGTATTGCTAAATCTCTGCAATGGGATGTCAGATTCACACACTCAAAGGACAATGAGGGGTTGCTCTCTGTTCAGAAGACATTTTGGCGTCCTTTAGATGTGGAAACAATTACTTCAGCAATTGCTTGAACACACTATTGGTATCAGTTTATTCAGAAGTTAGCAGCCATTCCTCAAGGTATCCTTATTTTCCTCCAGAATCTTTTTTTCCTTGTAATTCAGGAAGTCATTGCTGAAATGAAAGGATACAGTCTGATGCTCTTTTTAAGATGCGCAATGGTTTAATTTTTCTCTGTTATTTAGCATCTTTACATCGACTTATGTATTGGTATGTTTTGTGTCCGATTCATTTTCTTCTGAAAATGAGTCATTGCTTAAATGTTAATTTTAGGGATAATTACACAAATAGTCCTTGAACTTTGCCCCAATGTGCAATGTGATCTTTGAATTTTTAATATGTCCAATATGATTCCTGAACTTTAACCAACTATGTAATGTGGTCTCTGAACTTTTAATTTGTTCATCATGGTCCCTGAACTTTTGGTAAATGTTCAATGTAGTCCCTAAATTATTATATCATTGGATTCAATCTAATCCCTAGATTATCTAGTCCAGGGATTAAATTGGACATGTACCAAAAGTTCATAGACTATATTGAACAAATTAAAAGTTTAGGGACCACATTGCACATTCGGTTAAAGTTCAGAACCACATTAAATAAATTAAAAGTTCAGGGACCATATTGCACTTTGGGGCAAAGTTTAGGGACTATTTGTGTCATTTTCCCTTAATTTTATTAGTCAATGAGGCAACACATTAATTTTTCCATCTTCCCCTTTGGCCTATATAACATGTTTAATCTATATGATTCTATTCTCATTGCATCACCAAGTCAATCTTTTTTCTTTGACTTTATATATTGTAAATGGATGAATTAAGGAATTCCTAGGCAATCAAGTGTGCAAGGGGCTCTCCCCTACTGTTAAACTGTCTTTGTTAGATTTTAGCAACTGTTCTTATTCTTGGTGCTCTTCAGTTTTTCAGTGGAGTATCTGCATTCACATGATGTGATTATGCTTCTGGGAAAGTGGAGACAGGAGTAGTTTTTCAAAACACTTTTGATTAGATTGAATTTTTCAGTGGAGTTATCTGCATGCAAATGGACAATGCAATGTCTCAGTTAGATCTTTGAATTCAGGATTGTTTATTTGTTCATTTTGTTACAATCATAAGCAAGCTTAACACAAGATTGAAGGATAAAGGATGAAGAATTAGTGTATGTATTACTCTGGCTCATAGTCCGACATGCTTTCCTGACTTCATATTATGGCAGTGGCATCTGCTCTGCTTCTCCTTCTCAATAACGCCATCCTCATCAGAACCTTCCGAGTAATTGTTGGAGTCATGTTAGGTTACTTATGTGCTTCAGAATCTGAAGTCTAATGTTGCTTCTCTAATACGTGCAGCATTTATCTAAACATCACACACTGAATTCGGATACTATGAGAGGCAAACAAGGTGCTGCGTTTAAATGCTCAAGCTCGAGGCTTAGTTGATCGTGGTAATTTCTCTGCAAGTTGTGCCGGTACATGAGATTTTAGGACTGCCGTTTCACAAAATGGACCACCTTTTGCATGCCAATTTCATCTCGACTGTCGTTGGAGTTGTATCAATTGTTAGGAAATGGCTCCAATTCTATCAGCTCTTTCAGGATTGATTACTGTGATTGAGATGTCATGGTGGGAATGGTGGCTAGCATTTGACATTGATAGGCTTTCGGTATATATCAGCTACCACAGTTTTCGGTGTCCATTGTTGATTTTCATCATCTTCTTATGTTTCATTCTTTCTGTGCGTAGCATTGTCCGACTGTGTGGCGTAAGCATATACGATAAACAGAACGGCACAATCGTAAACGGGTTCAACCTGTTTCTGCCGTGGAAAATTGGGGCATTCTTCGGTGATCTGCATCCTCTTTAGGCAAATGTAAATGTCAACTCTGGTGGTGTTAGTAAGTCGATCACATGTAGATTATCTCGGTTTTAATTCTAACATTAATTTTTTTTTTCATGATGAAGTAATGGATTTCCAAAAATTTCCATTCTTGCAAACTATTTTGAGAAGTTGAATTTTTTTTTTTTTGGTTTAAGCAATTTTTCGGATTATTTTTATAATCAAGTTTTTTAACTCTCTTAATTCGTGCACTCTAAGTCTGTTTTGATAATGGCTATCAGCTAAACACCTAAAAAATCGAAGACTCGACATTAATGAAGCGGCAAAAGTTTACAGATTTTAAGAGAGAGCTTGCTGCCCGTGCAACCACATGCCGAGGAGGGACCGATCCTCGTCTGCGACTTGCGACGGTGGCCTAGCACTCACTAGGGCTGAGCTAGGACTCGACGAGGGTCACGTTTGAGTAACGCACCTTACCTAAACTACAGCACAACAAAGAAGTTTCACATTTAAGACCCGAATGGAACCATAGAAACATAGCGAATCATGTGTGAAACATACTCGCCTACATACAATCGCTCTTATATTGGCAACTGCAAAGGCGATCCTCCATTGATTCCATTTCAGGGAATGAACTCATTTTACCTGTTCTTTGGTGAAAATTCGGTAGCCTACAATGAACGTTTCGAAACAGCAAAAGAACAAGAACATCCCTACTCCTGCGGAGTTCAAACATGTAAAGATCACAATTGTCGCACTCCGTCGGACGATGTCGGACCGCAACATGGATGAAGTTGTTTCTACATGGATGTCATCGAGGATAATTAGAAAGAAAAGAAGAAAAATTATCTCCCATGTCATGGCACAAGTAGACGCTCAAGCCTCTCTTCCTTGTCATACTTCATCAACTCAAACTCTCCATGGATGACCTCGTTGTTGTAAGAAGTGGAGCTCAGAAAATCTACCGAAATGTTCACAGTGGCCAAATTTTATTCACTTTATACTAATAGCGTCATTCGATAGCCATCTTAGTTGGATTTTATCAGAATTGGTGTCAAAGGGACTTGATCAAAAATTTTGCGAAAATAAAAGGATTTGATTAGATAAATTGATAGTAAATTGATTTAATTATAAAAAAGCGTGAGAGTGTATGGGCAAATGATAAAATCTTTTCTTTAGAGAACTAACACCGACCCGGCAGAAGTTGGCAGATTTTTAAACTCTAAAAATGGGTGTGACCTGTTCAACTTTCACTAGCAAGATAATGATATAAATGGTTCATAAACTGTGGTCCAATACGTGGTCTTTGAACTTTTAATTTGTTCAATGTGATCCATAAACTTTACCCTAATGTGCAAAATATTTCTCGAACTTTTAATTTGTTCAATGTGATGTTCAATTTAGTCCTTGAACTATATGAAAATGTTCAATTCAGTCCCTTCATTAATTCAAGTTCAAAGATAAACATTTTTATATAGTAGATGGACTAAATTAAATATGTACCAAAATTCTATGGACCATATTGAACAATTTAAAACTTCAGGAATGACATTATATATTGAGTTAAAGTTTGGGGATCCTATTAAACAAATTAGAAGTTCAAGGACCATACTATATATTGAGGCCAAAGTTTAGGAATTATTTGTATCATTTTCCCTTCACTTGGTACATGTAGACAATTTTGAGGCAAAGCAGACCTATTAAAATGGGTCTAAATCCATTTAATAATCCAAAATTATTTAAATGGGTCATCCTAAATTTCATGAGCAAGGGTTTACAAAAGGAAAATTGACACAAATAATCCTTGAACTTTGGTCCATTATGTAATGTGGTTCCTGAACTTTTAATTTGTACAATGTGATTCATGAACTTTAGCCCAATGTGCAATTTGATCCCTGAACCTTTAATTTGTTCAATGTGGTCCTTGGATTTTTGGCACATGTTCAATGTAGTTTCCAAACTATATGACAATATTCAATATAATCATTTCACTAATTCAAGATCAGGGACTGCATTGAACATTTCATGTAGTTGGGATTATATTGAATATTTTCATATAATTTAGGTAATATATTGAACTTGTACCAGAAGTCTAGGGATCATATTGAGCAAATTAAAATATCACGAATTACATTGAGCATTAGGCTAACGTTCATATAACATGTTAAACAAACTAAAAGTTAGGGCAACCGCATTACTTATTAAGCCTAGGTTTTACGGATCATTAGTGGCGCTATCCCTTTACAAAGTACAGATGCGGAAACACGTGGGTTGGACCCATTTACGACCTTCTTTAGCTTATCGTCATGCTGTCGTGCACTCTCGCAGAGAGAGAGAGAGAGAGAGAGAGAGAGGGAGAGAGGGATCGAGAAGCTCGTTCCTTTCTCGCCTCCGAATCCATGAAGTCGCCTCCACTGAGTACGTCCCCGTTTCTTCCTCCAATTGCGTCGAGATCGCCTCCGCTTCTAATCTCATTTGTAAAGTGATTGGGCGTGACCTTCTCTGGCTCTCGCGTTTCGCATGTGTCTGTCTTGCATTCTGTGCTTTTCGTTATTTCTGTCGCATGCTACGTATTTTTTTTTTCTTGCTTTTGCATGCTGAATGAATGGGGATGGACGCGATGAACTTGTGGTTCCGAAACATGGACGATCGAGTCTTAGCATGATTGAATAATTTGAGTTTCTCCGCCCCGAGTTTTGATTGTATACCAACAGGCTTTCTTGACTGCAAATTATGTAAGGATTTTCAGCTAATTTTCCCTTTAGCACGCCACAAAGCTGGTCACTTGCCTGCATGTCTCTTGGAACACAGGTTTGTTTGTGGTGCTTGGATTTGGAATCCCATAAATGGCACTTCTAGATTGTAATTTGGTTGTGATCTGGTTAGTTTACTCAAATGTCTAGATACAGCTTCTGGCATGCTAGGAGCTCTGTTGTGTAAAATTCTGATTGAATCATCTTTTTCTCGAACAAATTTTGTTTGGAATACTAAATGGAAATGGGGTCTACTCGGAAATTATTGATCACAGGCATGATGTTTTTATCTTCCTCTTAATTCTTAACTTGTGTTTCGTACGATCTAGAGGATCGGTGAGATGAGATTTGTTTTCTTTGTCGATGGTCATTGCAGGTTCTCAATGGAAAATGACCAGTGGATTTATGATTTCACGAATGTAATGGTATTATGGTAGGGGGCTTAAGTGATCTATAAGGAGTCCTTATATACCCCGAACTTAGCCGACGTGTTGCAACCGACTGCGGTGAACTTGTTCTTGGTGCTGGATATGGGAATTCAACTGGTCTGAGCCACGGATAATTGCTCGAAGACTCATCGTACCCAGATTCATTTTCAGCATCGGTGCAAATGGTGTTCTTGGTGCACATGTAGCTCAGGCATTTTTTCTTGGCATCCTCGCATATTTTATTCCCTATCACCCTGTCAAGAACTAGAGAAGTTTGATTAAATATATGCTGCGAAAAATCACTAACCGAGAATTTATAGTAGTCAGTTTTAGCGACGAATAGATTGCTAGAATTGAAAGACAAGTAATCGGGATGACCAAATAACCTCCCAATGGAGATGTTGTAGTTAAATGTCCTATGCTCGTTTGGCAACAATCGATACGGGAACACGACCCCGCTGCTGCCAGACGAGCATCCCTAGGGACATTTTCAACTACAATATCTCCATTTGGAGGTTATTGGTCATTCGGATGTCTGACTTTCAATACTTGCAGCTATGTATTCAACGCCCGAACTGACTTCTACAACTTCTCGGTTGGCGATTTTTCGCGTCTTAAATTTAACCAGTCCACTCTAGTTCTCGATTGAACGATAGGGAATTAAACATGCAAGGATGCCAAGAAGAACAACCTGAGCTATATGTGCATCGAGAAATAATATTTGCACCAATGCCGAAAAGGGATCTAGGTACAAGTGCACTTGTTCAAAAGGGTACCGAGGCAATCATCAGACAGTCCAAATTAAGAGGGAAGTTTGTTGTTTCCATTCGATATGTCCCTTCTGCACATTCATCATGACTTTTAAAGAGCATTGACTATCTACTGATTTCTCTTTATGGAAGGGCCTCTGAATGTACAATATTTTCCTTCACGTTAGTGTTACCTGTATATTTGCACCAGACGTTTGCGTTCTTGTTTCAATCTTTCTTTGGTTCTACTTGTATGTTTGCTGCTGTCCTCAGAGACTTGAAAATGTGGGTGATGAGTGTAATCCCGATTGAATCTCCTGACACACTTCCTATAATCTATGAGCACGGTTTATTTGGCATGTACCATGACTGGTGTGAATCATTCAACACCCACCCAAGATCTTATGATCTTCTCCACGCAGATAATCTCTTCTCCAGTCTCCAAAGGAGGTTTTTTCCTTTCGTTTTTGAGTCATTTCATTACTTGATCCTTAAGGAGGAAAAGACTCCTTATTACGCTGCTGCTTTTCTTGTCACAGGTGCAATTTGATGCCGGTTTTTGCAGAAGTTGATTGGATTCTGAGGCCAGATGGAATTCTGATTGTCTGGGATGATGTGGCGACTATCCTGAGATTGAGAGTATTGCTAAATCTCTGCAATGGGATGTCAGATTCACACACTCGAAGGACAATGAGGGGCTGCTCTCTGTTCAGAAGACAATTTGGCGTCCTCTAGATGCGGAAACAATTACTTCAGCAATTGCTTGAACACACTATTGGTGTCAGTTTTTTCAAAAGTTAGCAGCCATTTTGCCGGCATAAGCTCTCAAGGTATCCTTATTTTCCTCGAGAATCTTTTTCCTTGTAATTCAGGAAGTCATTGCTGAAATGAAAGGATGCAGTGTGATACTTTTTTTAAGATGTGCAATG